AAGTGTAATAAATATTCAAATAGTTTGAAAAATGTGTTAATAAGAAAAATTAATGTAATATAGGTTTAATAAAACTTCTAACACAAAATTTATTCCACATAATAAATACCGACATTTTACAAAGAATGCTTTGAGAATAAGTATAATTTATTTTGATAAATAATTTATAATTCACGTTCAGTTGAATATATAAACGTGATAGCTAGCTAGACGTTATAGTGCACCTATATCGTATTATTTTTCAATCACTATTACATGATATTCACACAAACAAAATAAACATTTACATGTAATTAAATAAATAAAATAAATAATTACTTATATTTAGCGATTTGTACTTGTAGGTCAAATATACCAGATCAAGCCCATCACCAATCCCAAAGAGAGGTAAAACGATTTAATCTTGTAGGTGTTTTTCGAAACAGACAGACTGAAGCATCAGTTACTCCGTGATCATGAATGGCAAAATTTTAAAGTCTATCCATTTGCTAAGTTTTCAATTTAGACTCTTATAATTAACAAAATATGTATAAAATATAGGAACTCAAGATAATAAGTTTTTTAGTCACCCATCATATGACGGGCTGCTTATTTTCACTTGTCACTAAATAGTTATATGTTCGTCTGATTATAGTTATTTTCGCGATGATATCATAAAATACTGAACGGATTATCGTGCGGTTCTTACTATTAGTTAGATATTATTTCACAGATGGTTCATATACCCGAAAACGAAAACTATAGTCATCTATGGATAACTATTTATACTACTATAGTGTTTATAACGACTATAGCATGGATAACTATAGTTATATACATATATATAATACCGAAGCAAAGTCAGAGTGGGTAAATAGTACTTTAAAAAATATTTGATCATATTTATCACTGGTTAAGCTTAATTTTATAATAAGATGTCCAGAAATATGAATACGGAAAGGTTGAGCAGAAATTTCATTTGATATTGCAGTTAATTACCATTAAAGCTGCTGCTGCCGACAAACTGTTAGTCAGTTTAGCAGATGATAATGTATGGTTAAGTGTACGAAAATATATAAAAAAAAATCTATACATACAATGTGATAAAAGAGTGCTTAAAAAACTTTCGCTAAGGTGTCATAATTGCCAATGCGATCTCCTTTTTTCTAATAAAAAAATATACTTCTTACAACATACGACGATGCCACGTAAAAATAAATAGAAGAATTATATACAAAATATAGATGCTAGTGACCACATTTTGTGTGGTGGTCGTGTCGGTGTCGGTCATTGGATGGGTGACCAAAAATTTACTATCTCGAGCTCCTCCGTGCTTCGGAAGGCACGTTAAGCCGTTGGTCCCGGCTGCATTTGCAGTCGTTAGCACCCACCAATCCGCACTGGGCCCGCGTGGTGGGTCATGGCCCAATCTCCCTATTCCATCCATAGGAAAGGCCTGTGCCCCAGCAGTGGGGACATTAATAGGCTGATGATGATGATGATGATGATGATGACCACATTTTACGTTAAATGTATAATTTTACGTAGTACCGACAGGAACGACATTTATAACTTAAATACCTAATACACGTCTTATTTTAAAAGCATCCTTCTCTTTTCTTCTTAATTATTTATTTTAAAAAACCAACAGCTTGTTAATTACATATTTGCTACAGGTTTAGTTATATAGAACGGCCAATTACAGGTCTCCTTTAAAAATTACGGTATAACGGAGTTCACAGAATTTACAATGATTTCCATCAAGTTACTTTAACACTGCATAAAACAGATTCTATTATAACAAGAACATATTCTGAATTTATTATTTTAGTTTAGTTTATTGAGTATCCCACTGGAACCTTAAATTTCTTCGGGATAGCAAGCATCCTAATGTATCAATCCAGGTCACAAACTATATGCGAACTAATTTTCAATCAATACTTGTTCAACATTTTTTTTTGAGTAACAAACATGCAAACCTACACATTTATAATATTAGTAAGTAAGTTTACAATAATTTGCTATGCTTCAATATGTACTTTCATTATTATATAGTAACATTTAGATATTGGTTGCAATAAATATTGAGTATTGTAGAAATTCTATAAATATCAACGGTCTCGTTAAATAATTCCAGCGCTATGTTTATTTGCCGTAATTCCAACTTGAGTAAATCCTTGTATGTTTGTGCTGATTCCTGTGGGTCACAACGCTGCCAACCGTTATGATGGACGCTCGGCAGTTGGCACTGGACCATTTGACGCATCGCCACACTTTGGAACCGGAGTCATGCTCATAATGCAGGTTGTACCGGTTGATGCCCAATTCTATGACTGGCTTACCGAACCGCGACGTGGTGAATTTGAGTTCTGAAATACAATGACACACAAAAATACTCATGTTATTCTAAAGTTGCAGATTGAGGGAAAACAAATCATAGACCGCTAAACTCAGCTTTTTTTGAAATCTAATACAAATGCTAGTACGTACGTACTTAGATTTTTATAGAGGGTGAGGACACAGATGGATGACAATATGAAATAAATATTATACTTTCTTCTCATATATTCAGATTTAATAATTCAGTAGTTCGCGGTCTGGGAAACATCACGATACAAATGCATTTCTGTAACTCGAAGCGAGGCACAACTATAAAAGCATAAACTAAACCAAAGCCTGAATTAAATGTGAGCATTAGAAATAGTACACAGATGCTACTATTAACTATCTTGCTAGTCTCCTTTTTATGAACTATAAAAAAGTTGTGGATTTAAGAATGCTAAACGATGGATAACAATATAAGTAAAACCATTAAAATGGAAGTTTTTTGAAGTGAAAACTTCTTTAGCGGCGTTGTACTTTTTATGTATGGGTAAAAAATGTTAAGCTCATGACACACAATAAAATTGGAAAGGTTGTTGACTTTCAATATATTGGACGAAACATAGTAATATTTTATTTTATCGTATTATAATCCATCTAGGACGTCCACGTGGCAGCTTTATTGCGAATAAAATGCATTTTTTTACAATAGTTGTCGCTAGGTGCGCTTAAATGTGATTTATGTATGTTGATTTCTTTACAATAGATGTCGCTAATTGCGCTTAAACGTGATTCATGTAAGTTGATTTTACTGAGAGATAAACTTTTTTAATGTAATATAATATTTGTGTACGATAGCGCAATAAATAAATAATGTATTCCACCACATACATGATAGTACTTTTATACTGATAATTAAAGCAATTCGTGCAAATTTATTCCCTAACCATTCCAAAATATCAAAAATGCGCAACGTTAATATTCAAGTTTTCACTTCTGCCGGCACTCCCGGAGTGCAACCCGTCGTTTTTTTTTTATATGAAGGTCGTTAGGCGGCGGCACTGAATTTTTATATTGTCATTGTAAGAAATGGAATATTTTAAGTTCTGATTCAGTGAATTCCAAATACTCCACATATACAAGCCACTCTATTGGCCACGTTTATCAAAGTTAAACGAGTGCTAGAATGTAAAAAGGAAGGAATTTCTTACCAAGGAATCTTGTCTATAATATGTTCCTTGATAGAAAGGCACTGCGGATAGCTTCGTGTAACCTCGATTTGCCTCGGACGACTTCCAACCATTGTCGGCTTTTGCGCCGGCGTCAAGGGACTCGAAGTGTCATCCCAAGGAGCGTCATACTAGTGTTTATAATATATACATACTTCGGACATCGGCCAACTTCGACAACTAATTCGACGAAGCAACTTCGCGAGTAGTGTAATAGACCTGCATAGACATTAAGAGACTTCTGAGCTTCTTGGAGGAGCTGGGATGGCGTGACTGAAGTTTGAATTTACCCAAAAGAGGTGCCTGGTGCGAACTTGCGGTGAATGCCTACTGTGAAGAAGACGAAGAGTAGTGCAGTGAAAGTTCCACAGTGACGCCATTTGCCAGCGTTTATTATCAACAAATACGGATGCCTCGATGACACGAGGCGAGTTAACAAGCTAGCGAGTTTACTAGCAGCTTGTAACTCGCCCCGTGTCATCGACTTTTTTACCATCTGCTACTCGATGATACGGGACGAGTTAACAAGTTGCTAGCGAACTCGCTGCTTTTAGCTTGTAAACTCGCTCCGTATCATCGAGGCTGAAGTTACTATGAAAATGTGAAGTTTCACATGAGCCTTTGTCGAGTATATTATTAGGCCCGTATTATAGAAAGATTCTCAGTAATGAATCTAGTCTTGAGCATAGTTAGACAACTGTACTCCAGTAAAGATCAACACTTAGTTGTCATTCTGTAATACGGACCTAAGATTTGACAATACTCCCGTCTAAGGTTGTGACGGATGGTCTGCGATGAGACAAAGCCCGTTTGGAACAAGTCCAGAACACCTTGTTGCCCCTGCAGGTGTGCTGACTGTTTCTGAATATACCTACCAACAGGATGGGATTACCCTGAATCAGCAACACGCAGACCAGCCCTGAAACAAATCACTCAGTTTCTAAGATATGAAGCATATTTACCACAATTCATCTATTAAAGAAATGTGTACATTATGCCGAAGTGTTTGTAACTAAAACATAAAAAAAATGTAATAAAACTTTTAAATAGAAAAAAAACAAGACCTAGCGAAATAATAATTAAAATACATTAGCATAAAAATAATACTTACGAAAATCGTATTTTTTATTCCTATATATTTTTTAGTAATTTATTTCACCAATGTAACACATTATATTTTATGCTTACATAATTGTTAAATATTAGGGAGAAGCATCTAAGATATGTCTTATAACGATGTTTTTTAATGCTAGCTATTATATTCTCGATTTTCTATCTAGATTCTATAAATAATTTAAAAAATGACAAGAAAATATTCTTATATATATATGTATATATATATATATATATATGATTTGAAAATATTCTATGATAACCAAACACAAAATTATTAAAACAATATATATATACGAGTACATATATATTTAGCTTGAGAATAGCAAAGAAAAATTTACTTTAATCACAAAATAATCTCCCATGCCTATTCTTCACAAACTCGTTTCGACACATAAAAGTATGTGAAGTGAATACGTTTAACTTATCATTACAAGACGAATAGAAAAATACCACATAAACAGAAACAATAAAAGAAATAATAATACCGGAACAACGAAAAACTTGAACTTATATTTACCATCTTTTTGTACATTGTGGATATGCAATTAAGAAATTGAATTGAATTGAAAAGATCATGCGATGGTCGACAAAATGACATGAAGTAAGTCTTTCGTCATAGTAATTGATTGATCAATGGTTATGCTCGTTCTTAGACTTGACAATGCAGTTCGCTATGGTTGTAACCGAAGCTCTGCATTTACACGAAGAGCCCCATTTGTAGCAAGTCCAGAACACTTTGCTACCCATGCTGCCCGTGTGCAGGTTATATCTGAATCTACCAATCAGCAAGATGGGCTTGCCCCGTTGCGACACGCCGAAGACAGGTCCTGTAAAAGAACACACAGTTTGTGAATTTGTCACATTGTTACCCACTAAAACTGCATTAAACAAGGTTACAATTGTGCACATTATACCGAACTATTCATAAACAAAAATACAAAATAATAATAAAAAATACTATTAAACTTTTGATTAATACATGTTAAAAGCTTTATATTAAGAATTACAATAATACAATAGTAAAGTTCATTTGTTTTATTATCCGAGAATCCAACACGGCCGATGCGACACGACTCCCGGCTATATTGCTCTATGGACAGTTACCGTATAGCAAATAATGTTTCTTAAATTTCCAAACAACTAAGAGAGAATACACCAAACATAGTAGAAGTCGCTTCAGTGCTTGTGGTAGTTATTTACTTTCACGATTTCCGATCCGACGGTAGTTATAGTCGCTCTGCATCCTTTGCTCCATTGCTGGCAGAGCCATTGCGTCCTGCCCTTGCCTTTACACCGACTGTGCAAGTAGAAACGGTATCCGCCGGGCAGGTTTAGTACGTGTGTGTTCCGATTTGACATTGTGAACCATGCTGTGACAAGAAAAAGGTTTTGAAAACAAAGTAGTTATAAATCGTTTCTTTAAGAAACAACAAGACAGTTACATAGCAGAAATCAAAATAATAACTGAAACGATTTCTAAATTAACGTTTGGTTACTACTTTGAATGTACGAGCCTTAATCTGTGAGTTTAACAAATCTCTATAAAAACTTGAAATAGTATAATCACGTTATACTACCTCACGATGAAGGAAAATTCAAAAATCTGTATTGTGCCGTGTAATAATCTTTTTAATGTCAATACATAATTGTTAAGTATTATTCATACTGCCTACGTTAATAGGCTTTGTGGATTATTATACAATAAGTATAATATATAAAATAAAAAATCGCATAATAGATTTGTACTTTTTGATGAAAGTTATAAAGTAAGAAGTCGATACAATTGAAATTAACATCATTGTTTCCTAATACATACTCGTATATGCCTTACGACACCTAACTTAGGTTAAGAAATTTGGCCACCAGCAAACATAATGCGTGTGGTGTGTATCTAATAAATACTTCATATTTAGGTCCCGCAACAGCTACCATTGGCAACCTCAACCCGTTTACCGATCGATAGTACATTGTTAACCATAATTTCGATAAAAACACAATATTATAACATGCTGTTCTACCTACAGTCAGCCCAATGGATCTAATCGTGTTTCTTTTGTTACATTCATAAATTAAGGATTACATAGAAAAATAATTTCAAGGGACACTTTAAACTTATAATGTTAACAACCATTGTCATCAAAGACATAGAAATACGAAGGGCTAATTGTCTAACTTTCAAAATTTTCACAACCACATTAAAAGCTTAAGAAAAGTGTCAACGTGGCATAGCTAATCTCTTTCTAAACAATGGAATAATGAAAGGGTTGCCCAGGTTCTTCCTTGATTGAGGAATATAGAAATTGATAAAAATAAACCACATTTTCTTAAACCAGAAACTAAATATATTACAGAATAGTTATTTAGCTGTAGTCTTCCATAATAACAAAATATAGTGAGCGTAAGCATGTACGTTTTCCAGCCAGTTTCTCAAATTCGCTGTGTTCACTCTTTCGGTTCCTTTCAATGGTTGTGTCTGTTCCTTATTTGTGCGAACACACCGTTAATTGTCGTGACTGTAGCTCTGCATCCTAGCGTGGTCGATCTTTGGCACAACCATTGAACCTTTGGACCTTTACAGCGACTTCGTGCGTGGTAGCGGTGACCGTCCATGTTTAATACAGGCCTGTTGCGAACCGAAGTAGAAAACCACACTGGAAAATCAAATGGTCAAATTAGCCGATAAGTGTGAGAGAAAAATTTAACTTGACAGTAATCGGTAGTACCACTGTAAAAGGTATCAATCCTACGGTAGTTCCGGCGTTTTTTTTTATCTCCCTTGACAGTAGTACCTACCACAGTATAAGGAATTTATGCCACAGTAGAGTACTCCGACGCCTTCTTTATACTTCCTTACATTGTTTAACTTCCTTTATTGTCGCAATATCTTTACTTAGCCCAATGATTGATTGGTTGAAAAAATATTTTGTGGCAATATGCATAATTAGACTGGGGAATGTAGAAATTGATAAAAATAATAATAATAAATTTATTTTCCCCAAAATGATTACATAGTAAAATCATAACAATAGTTTTCTTAATACCTAATAGCAGCGACAATACTACTTGAAACTAAAAATACAATAAAATAGCACTTACTATAACTACACTAGTACCTAAACTAGGCCGAGCCTGTATAATAGGTACTAGATCCTTCCATTTTTATTTTATTAACATTGACAGAATTTCATCTATAATATTTTGAATTTTGTGCTTGTGGATTCTGCAAGAATTTCTGGTAAATTCAAACTAAACTAAAGAATAATATAAATTATAATTTATCTAACAATATGGAATAAATGTTCAACTTCATCATATGAAAGTGATTTTAGCCAATTTGTAATTATGATTTTGCATTTATAGTAATTTAATGAGTAAATATTGTCAATTTTATTTATCTTGTTATGTAAGAAAGGTCCGAGAAAACAATGAAATTTATAGTTAAACTTGGTTCTAAAAACATTTTCTAGGCAGACTGCACTTGTGGTGGGCGCTATTTGTGGTGAATTTTCTTATGCCAGAAACTAAATATTACAGAAAAGTCATTAAGCTATGTGTGTTCTTCATGTTTAGACGCTTTTCCAGTCAGATTCTCCAATTCGCTGTGTTTACTACCTTAGCTCATCTCAATGGTTGTGACTGTTATTTATTTTTGCGATCACACCATTAATTGTCGTGACTGTAGTTCTGCATCCGTGCCTGGTCCATCTTTGACACAACCATTGGACCTTGGCGCCTTTGCAGCGGCTTCGTGGGTGGAAACGGTGACCATCCATGTTTAGTACTGGCCTGTTGCGATTCGAAGTAGAAAACCACACTGGAAAACATGGTCAAATTAACATATTTGTTTCCTAGGTTTTCGCGCACATCACTCATTAAATAAAACTAGTTTTAACGGGTTAGTACAATAGAGATTTAAAAATTTTCCAATGAAATATCCGAATGCTCAATAAAAGTCTTTCGAAGGTAGCTCGACAAAGTAAATAAAAAAATGGGTGCGTGTACTTATGTAGGCGCGTGAGAAGTTATCCTTCTTTGGCATCGTTTAAAATTAGTTTTTAATTGCATGCAAATAATTAATTACAATAAATTAATAAAAAGTCTGGAAAAGGACACAGTCCATAAAGTTCAGTTTTAATTCGAAAAAATAAATAAATAATCAAAATATTCAATTAAAATCGCTACTGAATATAATTTATTAGAACATATGTGATTTGCACGAATGTATGAAACTCAAACACGTATTCCGAATATACAAACTAGAAACATGTGGATAAATATTATAAATATGAATACCTATAACTGTTACTTTATTACAAAATAAAGATGTGGTTTTTGGTTCTACTACACCAATGGTCAAGAGATGGCGCTGTAGTCTTCTGAATCGCGCTTTGGTTCCGTTGTTCCAGATTAATAAATACTTTTGATAGGCCTTCACAATGCAGTCATTAGCACCCACTAAATAGAGATTCTTTTTCTATTTTGTTGGTAGATTTTCTTAATGTGCGGTAAACACAAAAGTAACAGCATGAAGTTGGTCGCTTTAAAATTTTGTGTTACAGTGATGCGCGCGCATCTTAAAATTTCACTCTCATCATTTTTTCATAACGCGCCTAAAGAAGTATAACTTCAAAAATCATTATTCTAACGATGCAGACCTGAAAAGGCTGCGAAACGTCAATAAATAAATAAAGTTCGTGCATTAACCAAACAAACAAACACAACAACAAACTAGTTTTATTTAATGGTAAAATTAGCCAATTATGCAACATCGGTCAGTTTCCATAAACAAACTCCAGTAAGAAGTAGGCCTACTAGAGCTTTGTCGCCAAGAATATTTTTATTGTTATGACTATATTAACAACTGTTGCTAAGAAACGGAAAAAGATTATCGTTGTCTTTTACTAGAGGCTGATTATCGAAACTAGCCGTATGTGAATGAAAAATCTAAGACGGTTATCAGTCGATATGTCTATCGGGACCACAGTACAAGGAATCAATCCTATATTTAATCCAAAGATTTTTTTATCTCCCTTGCCAGTAGTTTCACATTATAAGGAATCCATGCTACAGTAGAATAGTTTGTCGCCTTCTCTTTACTTTCTTTGATTGTTTCCTTAATTTCACATCGTAATCTCTGCTCAGCCCAACGATTAATATTTGAAGATTGAAAAATAACATTTAGTGGCAACAGAATAATCAAAATAAAAATGCTGGTACAACGAAAACTATTTTATTAACATGTTTATCTTAGAGAGATTAAAATTTAGTGATTGTGGAATTTCGAGGGGGGTATGATCTCGCCGTCGATTGTGTACAAGGACGCTCTACATCCGAGGGACCTCCATTTGATGCAGGGCCACTGGATCTTGGAGCTGTTACTTCTATAGGGACGTATATATTGGTAGTATCGATGTCGCCCTATTTGAATCACCGGACGACCATTCCGGGATTTGGTAAACAGAGGCACTGCGAACATAAAGGTAAAGTATGTTCTAAAATGAAAACAATGAGAAAAAGAACCCACTAAATCTATAAAAGAAGCCGTAAGAATATTATTTAGCAAAAACTTTTTTTTGAAAAGTTTAAATATATTCTGATACGAAAAAGATGCAAATCGTTAAAAGAAATTTGTGTCATGTTACGAATGAATTTAACACATAATACTTGGACACCGGCTATTTGTGCGTATGATCTTCACCCATACTGAATCTTCTTCTCGGCGAAAATTCCGAAGATAACAACATATTTTATCATTCTTTTCATTTGCAATTCAATAACAGTTTTTTTTATATTGTGAAGTAACAATTTACAGTTAAAAAACAGCTTTCGGAACATTTCATATACATGAAACTAAAAGAATTTAACTAATGGTTTTGGTTTTCAGCCACCGAGGCGATCGTTTTGTCTGACGCACGACAGCCTGTAGCTTGGCGTAAGCTAAACCTCCAAACTATCTTAAACTCATTAAAATGTGTGTACCACGCCTCGAAGTTGTAAAAAATACACCTCAAATATACTTTACATTAATTTTCGACTATAAATGGTAGATGAGAGATGACTTTTGCTCGCTGAGCTCGTCTCATGCTTGGTGTCATATTTGAGTAAAATCCTGTTATGAGCAAATCTAATTAGATAAAAAGACCTTCTTCATACAAATAGTACCTTACGCTGACTCACAGTACGAAATGTCCAACCTGGCCTTTAGAAATCTGCATTGGCAGTTTAAGTGTAGTAAACACGTACTGAGATACACTCATTATTATTAATAACACAAATTGAAATAGAAAAATTAAAAAAAACAACCAGAATAATGTATATAATGTATGAAAACTTTTTATACTATTGATATCTATGATATCGAAAATATTTATATTT